GGAGTCTGTAACCTGAAGCGTATGTAACCCAAGGTACCACTGTATCCAGGGCCATGCTGCTTCTGACAATGCGGGCAGAACATAGCCATCGTGGTTAGGAGCTTGAAATGCCTGATTGCATCATTGTGAACCTTTTGAGGTCCAAGGCCTGGTCGGATTAGTACCTCTCAGCGAAAAGCAAAGCTGGATCATTTTAGTAGCCTGGAAGGTATCTTCTTAATTAATCCATTCTTAATGCACCAGCAGCGAACTGGACTCAGAGGAGTCCACTCATTGCTAATTTTAAAAGACATTCATCTAATAGACTAAATTATTTACATGTTGCTTTCCTATTAATTTTTACTATGCCTGTTCATGGAACTGCTGTTCAGTTCTGGGAGCCACATTTTTAGAAGGACGTTGACCATCTGGAGCATATTCAGAGACAGGTGACCAAGATAATGAAACCGAGTCCTATGAAAGAGATGCGTGAATGTTGAATACGGCTGTACATCACCCTTCTCCACTGACCTAATCCAGGCCAACCTCAGGACCAGTGCCGGATTTACATATAAGCTAAACAAGCTATAGCTTAGGTCCTCACTCTCTTGGAGGGCCTCAGAAAATTTTAAGGAAAAAACCACTGGATGTACATTTCCAAAATGTAAGATAAAAAAACAAATAAAATAAAATCTACATACAGCAACAGTGTTTTGTGTTGTGTAGGCTCCTATGATGTAAGTAATGGGACCCGCCTGCTAGCCTGCTCCCTAAAATATCATTGGTTTGCTCATTTCTATATATAGAGTGCCTACATTCTGCATGGACTGGTTGTGTGGCAATATGTGCAAATGGATTTAGATCATAAATTACCATATAGCATACATTCAACACAAAAAACAGCAACAATTTGTTGTTGACAAAGGACAGCTGGATATATAAAGGGGCCCCATTACCTTCTGTAGCTTAGGGCCTCATCAAACCTAAATCCTGCCCTGCTTGGGACCACCGGGCCCAGATCTGACCCCATCTCAATTCAGGGCAGGAGTGGCTGGGGGAAAAAGTGTCAGGCGTTTGTCCTACACTTGAGTAGGTCCCTGGCAGAGACACATGCCCGACTGGCATGTTCCCTCCCTCCTGGTCGATCGTTTGGGAGCTTCAAAAGCTTTCTTCTGCCCCGAACATCACAGCGGCCGATGCCAACAGACATCGGCACACTTAGGGATCCGCAGAGTCTTCGCAGCTTGCATGACAGACCTCAGTAACTCAGCATTTTTGCTAATCTACTTTATTTACATATAAACACACACGGATCACTGCAACATGGCTCCCTCTGTCTCTAGCATCAGACAGCAAATTGAAAGAACAAAGAACAATAACTCCACTTCACGGAACACAGTAACACAAACATCCTGTTTTCGTCACTTCCCACTCGGTGGAGTCAAAACATATACCGTCATGTGATAGAGAACAATCCTATGACTGCAATCACGGAGCAGGAATTCTAACAAGAAGAGCAGGAGGTTCAATAGTGCTGAGAGCTGTTTTGCACCACACAGGGGTGAAGGAGCATCCTGCAGCCAGCAGAACTGAATCCACTCACCGGTTGTTGAGTGGGGGATTCAATCCTGCTGGGTTCTGTTTCCTCAGTGTGCTCTCTGAGGGGAGCACACTGGGGAGCACACTGAGGCCGCCTGCCTCAAGTTCCCACTGGCTCCTCTGCTCCATGGCAGCACCAGTGAGCTGCTTGATTTGCTTTGGGCTTCAGCGGAATCTGGTTCCCAGCCCTCGTTCGTGTTTAGCCTGGAGAAGAGAGGATTAAGGGAAGGCATGCTGGCTGTCTTCAAATAGTCAAAGGGCTGCCGTGCAGAAGCTGGAGCAGATTTGTTGCCCTGGAAGACAGGATGAGAACCAAGAAGTAACAATGGCCGGGAAGCAGATTTTGGTCCAACAGGGACCAGCTGTTTGACAGTGGAACAATCTGCCTCGGAAAGTGGTGGTCTCTCCTTTGCCAGAGGTATTTTAAGCAGAGGACGCACTGCCATCTGTCAGGGATGCTGGACTAGACAAGCTCTTAAGTTCACATCTAGCTTTACCATTGTATATTTTAAAGGGGTCAGATCACTGAAGACATTGGGACCTGCTTTTGATTTTTTAAAATTATTGGCTTTCATTGAAAAACGATTCCGTAGCATCAAGCGATTTTTGATGTCATGAAACAGATATTAACGCTGCTGTTTAGAACTCGACAAACTTTCTTTGCTTAGTTACCCGCCGGCATTTGTTTATATGTTATTTCTAACTGCCCTATGCCCCCAATATACATATAGTTTAAATATCACTCCTTTAAACACACACACACACACACACACACACACACCACCAGAAATCTGATTGTATAAATGAAAAGGTGGTGGCATTAATTAACTGGAGATTCCACGCTTTCGTGTGTTCTGATCATTTTCCGTGGATCGGGAAGCAGTGTTAATAAAGCTAACTCGCTGTGACAGGTGTAATTTCACGGATTAAAGAGATGCTCACGCCAGCGACAAGCAGGCGGGAAGGATACGCGCCGCTTTTATCGGAATTCTGAAACGTATCGCGCTTTCTGTTTGGAGAGGTTTGGGGGACCGAAACCCTTATCGTAACAGGATTAACATACAAATATTATCACAGGCAGCAGGGTGTTTTAGTATGAATATTAACTGCAAATATTATGACTTTGTATCAGAATAGCTAATTAAGCCCATCTGTCAAATAGCATTTGAAATTTTCGAGACTGTGCTTGTTATCAGTTTGAGGCAAAATCCCAGATTTCAAGCAGCCCTTTTGTTTTCTTGTCTTATGGCTAGGGGTCGGGGGTGGGGCAACATGGAAGCAACCCATGTTGGTAGAAAAGTAAGTGTGGAGAAGTAGTGGCTGGTGGGAAGAAAAGCAGGGCCCACAACACACACAGTGTCTTAAATTCACTTTATTTAACCTGTTTCCTTTGTGCCTTTCCGTACAGCAACACTGGCGGGCAAGAAGACGGATTTCTAACACAAATTCTACCTCTGTCTGAGTTGGCCAGGGTCAGAGATCCATTTGCATTAGACAGAAGTCAGAAACAAGCATAGTCTTACGATTTATCCTAGTAGTCTGCATGCTTTTAATGAACTTTATATGCAGTGAACTTCATATTGTGGGTCTTTGGACCACAATAAAGTATTTGTTGTTGCTATTCAGGCATTCAACAACAACAACAACATTCAGGCATTACCTCCTGACACGCACAGGGCGCCATATAACCACAGTTCACCCCTGGTGCGTTCAGGAAGTTTGAGAAAGCATTGTGTGTGCCAGTCAGAAAGTGGCTGGGTGTGGCATAAGAACAAATGGTTGTTGCGGGACATGGCATAACACAAAAGAGCACAAAAAGAGACAGGGCCACAAATGGAATAGCCAATGGGATAAAAGGCACCTACACGAGCCAGTCTCAGTTAGAAGCTCTTTGGGCTTCTGCTCAAAACAGATGAGACGATGGGCGTCCAAACCTGGCATCTGATGAAATCTGGGTGTCTCTAAAGTGTGGGCAAGCACAAACAGGAACTGAGCAGAAAGAGGAAACACTCTTTTGTTTATTGATCATGTTATGTACTGAGTTGAATAGGATCCAAACTGCAGCAGTCTGATTGGTCCTAGAACAATGCAGCAGTATGATTGGTTGGCAGGAACCACCCAATCATGGTCCAGATATAAGTGAATCCACAACCTGATTGGCTTACAGTAGAATTCCAGAATTAGCCAATCATGTGCAGCCCATTGTGTAAATAATGTATATAAAGCAGATACTTTGAGGGGCCATTCATTCATTCCTCCTCACCACTATGAGCTGAATAAAGAGCATGAAATCACTTTGCAACTCTGAGTATATTTCAGATCATTTTCAAGGGGACATATATTTTGAGGTCTTTTGTGTACTGGAAGGATCACTGTCACCTGCAAGTGTCATGTTGCAGCTTGAGGCAAATCTTACTTGAACCACGTCATACATTGAAACAGCCATACCTTTCCCTAAATAATTTTGGGAGCTGTTGTTTTGCCAAGGGTGTTGAGTGTTGTTAGGAGACTCATATTCTGCTCTCAGAGCTCAAATTCCCAGAGTTTCGTAGGAAGAGGGAATGATTTTTAGACCACTCTGAAAATCATGGAAGGGAAATTGGGGGTCTGCTTTCAGCAACCTTAGCAAACCACAGCTCCCAGGATTTGGAGGAAGCCAAAGTATATCTTGCAGATGGGGCCTTAGAGACGCTTGCCCTGCAAATCTTGGAGAACCAGGATTTAAATGGCAGCGGGGAAGCTGGGCCAAAGGGAAATGCAAGGGCTTGATGTGGCCTTGATTTACCCTCGCTATCATTTATTTTTATCGCTTGCGCGGTTAGCAGCCTGTATTTCTCGTTTCCGAAACTTGCCTTTAAATTATTTAACGTCCAACACTGAGTGGAAGGAGCTCCATGACTTACAGCCTCGTTCGCTAACCTGTTGCAACTGCGGCTATGTCCCAGCAGGGATCTCCGGAGCGCCGTAATCCCCATACCGAGTGCCAGTTCCATGGCTCAACGATTTGTTCGGCATAAATAAAAGCCTAATGGCACCAATAATCATATTATGTGGCTTCCTGGTGTTCATTAAAATGTTTCATAAACACTGGCCTGTATCATACATCATAGTTAATGTTGCTGGGTTGTCTTTTCCCCCCTGTGGTTTTTATGCCCTTGTAGTTTTGTCCAAGGGAGATTGCAGCCAGAGAAGAGAGGAATTCTCCATTTAGAGGAAATGTGTAAGATATTGGCAATGACCCCCCCCCCAATTTTTTTTATCCCCTTAAAGGTGCCCGATACTCTTTGCAAAGCAAACACTTCAAGGTATTGTCATGTTATTGTCATGTGAGCTTCAAGACTAGACTTAGTATTCGGAGAAATAATAAGAGTTGGAAGGGGCCACAAGGGTCATCTAGTCCAACCCCCTGCAATGCAGGAATCTTTCGCCCAATGTGGGACTCGAACCCGCAACCCAGAAATTCAGAGTCCCGCATTCTACCGATTGAGCTATCCCAATTCTTATTATTATTTCTTATTATTTATTAAATTTACTAGTCACTATTTTGCCATTGCAAGTCAAAGCAACTCACAATATTTTAAGCAAACAACACATACCGTAAACTATATACACACGCACACATTATATATATGACAATTCTATTTTTTAAAAAACAGAAACAAACCTACATTAAAACATCCAACCCATGCAAAAAGGCCACAGATAGTTAAAAGCCCAAGGCTTGATTAAAAAGGAATGTTTTTGCCTGACACTTGAAAATATGTAACAATGTTACTGGGTGAACCTCCCAGAGGGAGTGCATTCTACAAGCAGGGAGCCACCACTGAAAAGGCACGTTCTCATGTTGCTTGTTACTTTCAGCAGAAAAGGGCCAAAGTTTGATCTGTTTCTGAAAGGTGCTTCAAAATAATGAATATATATTTATGTTTGTTTCTTTGTATGGCATTCACATCCTCATGTCTCAGTGATGTCTATGCTGACATGGTCATGTCCACAGAACAGAGATGGCAGAATTTTCAAGGATGTGTTCTGTGGAAAGGGTAAAAGAGTATTGGGAAATGATCCATAATGAATTTTTAAAAATGCTTAAAAGTACTCTCCTCCCCCCCCCAAGCCCTAGAGTCCTTTCTGTTGGGGATAACTCAGAGTGAAATTCCCAGATGTCAAAAAATGTTATTTCTGTATGCTACTACTGCAGCCCATGTTTTGTTAGCCCCAAAATAGAAAAACAGGAAGGTCCCAACTAAAGAGTGTCATCTTAAGTTGAGAGAATATGTACAACGCACAGACTTAACATATAGAATAAGAGAACAAGAAGAACATATGTTTAAAGAAGATTGGAAAACGTTTATTGAATATATGGGAAATAGCTGTGTACAGCTGAAAATGCTGGCAGCATTAAGATAAATTCAACATGGATGGATGCAATAATGGAATACTGAATTGTATAGTTTTTGTAAAATATGCAGAGATTTATGATATGTAAAATGAACCACGGAAAGAGGAGAAGGGAAGTCATTGATATCTTAGGGATGTAAAATGAGTATCTTAAATTGTAAAAAAGAAAACTTAATAAAAATTACATACAAAAAGAAAAAGAAAGAAGGACGTGCTCTGTGGAGAGCTGGCTTTAAACACCAGGCCTCTTGGCAGACCAATTCTGTGTTACAGTGAAGGCTGGCAAGCTCAGCCTGACCGTATGGGAATCCCTGGATGAAGGGTCAGCAAACCTTTTCAGCAGAGGGCCGGTCCACTTTGCCTCAGACCATGTGGGGAGCCGGACTATATTTTGAGGAAAAAAATGAACAAATTCCTATGCCCCATAAATAACCCAGAGATGCATTTTAAATAAAAGGACACATTCTACTCATGTAAAAACACGCTGGTTCCTGGACCGTCCATGGGCTGGATTTAGAAGGCAATTGGGCTGGATCCATGCCTTGGACTGACGGTCAGGTCGTGCATCCACAGTAATGACCAGAGGAGGAATGACTGCTGGGAGGAGCACAGAGAGAGAAAATGTGGTGGTGCATCAGCAACAGCAGAATCGGACACCTTCCTCTGCCCCAGCTCCTTCAGTCTCTACAGCCACAGCAGGTACTGTCTCTCTCCAGTCGTTTGACTTCACCCCAAAGGTGTGCTCCTCTTCCAAGACTGCCGGATACCAACAACTCTTGCGTTCTTTTGCTTGTGTGTTTGCCACCCTGGACTCCTTTGGGAGGAAGAACAGGATACAAGTGTAATTAATAATATGTGAGCATTTTCTGCCTGGTTTGTCTTTCACTTCAGTCTGGCGGCATCTTCCATGGATTCAATTATTTGCCGCGGTGCCTGCAAGGCGCTACCGTGGGACTCTCCTCTGAGTCTCTCTCATTACAAGCACGATTAGCAGCAGCAGTTACTCCTCTCTGGTTTCTTGTTCAAACCTTGTTTGAAGAGTTAAGGACATATCGATTAGCGGCTGTTTGGTGTGTGTTGGGGGGTGGCCTTTGGAAAGTCAGGCAGATTTCCCTTCGCACTGCCAAGCAGGCTAGCAGAAGAAAAAGGTTGCATTTTCTTTTCTTCTGTGCTGAAGCTGACACAAATGAATGCCGGTTACAGAAATTGGGCCAGTTTTTGTGCATCAATTTGGGATGCAAAATCCATCGGAGATATTGATAATTCTCTTGCACGAGGGAGCAGGGACCAATGTGGGGTTTAAGCTCAGTGGAAGAGATGCACTTTGCATACAAAAAGCCCCAGGTCCAGTTTGTGGAATCTGCAGTTAAAGAGGTATCATCTAGCAGGTGATTAGAACCTGAGTCCAGCAGAGCCATCGTTTCACATCAGAGTAGATAATACTGTGCTTGATGGACCAGTGGCTCAGCAAAAAGTAGCATTATATGCTCAGAAGGTGTTTTAGCTCAGTGGTAATAATAATAATAATAATAATAATAATAATAATAATAATAATAATAAATTTTATTTGTAGCCCGCCCTCCCCAGCTGGAGCCAGGCTCAGAGCAGCTAACATCGTATAAATAACACAGTATACATAAAAACAGGCATCAATTAATTAAAATACATCTTAAAATTAATTCAGACAAATTAAAATCTGGACAAATGCCAGTTATCAGGTTAAGATTGAGAGCGGTTAATACTTGTCAGGTAGAGCATCTTTCTTGCATGCACAAAGTCCCAGGTTGTTGTTGTTGCTATTATTATTTTGTTTGCAATATTGTGCTAACAAATATATATATACATATGGAAGAAGAAAAAAGAAGAAATAATACGTATATAGTAACAGAAAACCACAATCAGTTCACATTACAAATATAACAACCACCAGAGCATGAGTTAATAAGAGCCATCCAGATGTCCAAATAGGTAACTGCACAAATTTGACGTCTATATGAAATATGTTCAAAGGTAACCAGGGCATTAAGGTCTTCAGACTATTGCATAATAGACGGTTGGCATTTATCCTTCCAGGCTCAAAGTGCAAGTCTCTTGGTAATCACAGGGGCTTGCGAATCCACTTTTGTTTTCCTGCTATTAATCCCCACATGACAGAAAAATCATTTAAATATATACAAACACCTGCAAATATCAAGGATTTCACCAATGCAGAATTGAGGGGGATAACAACTTCAGACCAAAAAGAATCACATTGCTAGTGGGGCCCACATAATATGTCCCAATGAGGTTAAATTTCTGGAATCTCCTGGCTCGATGTGTCTCCCTCTCTTATTGTTAATGTTTAGGAAGAACTTACAAATATTCTTGTTTACCCACAAATTTGATGGCTGAAATATATGGTTCCTGGAAATTCTTAACTTTTTATCTGTGAGGGTATGTGATTCTTTTTAGATGCTCTTAAAGGTAAAGGTAAAAGGGTCCAGTCGTGGCCAACTCTGGGGTTGCGGTACTCATCTCGCTTTATTGGCTGAGGGAGCCGGCGTACAGCTTCCGGGTCATGTGGCCAGCATGACTAAGCCACTTCTGGTGAACCAGAGCAGCGCACAGAAACACTGTTTACCTTTCCACCAGAGCAGTACCTATTTATCTACTTGCACTTTGACGTGCTTTTGAACTGCTAGGTTGGCAGGAGCAGGGACCGAGCAACGGGAGATCACCCCTTCGTGGGGATTTGAACCGCTGACCTTCTGATCGGCAAGCCCTAGGCTCTGTGGTTTAGACCACAGTGCCACCCGAGTCCCTTAGATGCTCTTAAGTGTTCTTAAATGTTGTGAGATATTTTTAAAAGGTCACATCCACTCCTTACATTTAAAGCACATCCACCCCAATAAAAGAATCACCCCTTCGAAAAAAACAACAACCCAAAAAACCAGTCCATGGATTAGTGATGAAGTGACTGATGATGGACTGGCTGGAAACCTAAAGAGAAGTGATTGATACGGCAACATTTTATTTCGGGTTCCACTTATAGAGTGCAAGTGTTGCTGTCGTTATTGCTGCTGCTACAACATCAGTAGTGCTGTTCATGTTCACTTCAATGGGTCTTCTACAAAACAATGCCCTTTGTTTCCTGATGGAAAGGCTTCCTTCACAGGGATGCTTAACCTCCTAAGCCTATTTGTCAGAACTAGCACTTAATACCTCAGTGTAATGGATAGGATCTTCTTTCTCCCCCTGCAGTAAATCAAAGGTGACATTTTGGCAATCCTTCATTAGATAAAGCCCTTGTTTTGGATGGCTCTTAATGTAACCTGGTGTATTGAGAGATGGCATTATAAGAAAAGGATTCTTCCAGCCTTCGATTTCTCAAGTCACGTGGATGCTTCAAGTTGTGTAAACAACTCGGGGACATTTGACGGAGTCAAATGCTGGAAGATTCAAAGCAGATAGGACAGCACTTAGTTAAACTGTAAAATTCACTCTCAAGAGGCAGGGCCACATTTATGTATCAGCTAAACAAGCTGTAGCTTAGGGCCCCACTCTCTTGGGGGCCCCAAAAAAAAATTAAAGGAAAAAAACTGGATGTACATTTCCAAAATATAAGATAACAAATAAATAAAATAAAACCTACATTCAGCAACAGTGTTTTGTGTTGTGTAGGCTCGTATGATGTAAGTAATGGCCCCCGCCTGCTAGCCTGCTCCCTAAAATATCACTGATTTGCTCATTTCTATATACAGTGGTACCTTGGTTCTCAAGCTTAATAATTATTTCACTGTTAATATACCTCTTCTTAATTGTATTTCACTATTAATATACTTCTTCTTAATTGTATTTCAGTTCAACAATTACTTTGATAAAATACACATTTTGTTAAGTGCAAATGGTTTTAGATACCTATGAGGTCCTTAAATTACCATGTAGCATATATTCAACACAAAAAACAGTGACAATTTGTCCAGCTGTCCTTTGTCAACAACAAATTGTCACTGTTTTTTGTGTTGAATATATGCTACATAGTAATTTAAGGACCTCACAGGTATCTAAAGCCAGTACCTTCAGTAGCTTAGGGCCTCATCAAGAGGCCACCTGGCAAGAGGCCACCACTTGGGCTGGCTTCTAAAGAAGATGAGACGCATCCACAGAGGCCAAAGGCAACCAGTGGCTGCTCTCCATGATGGCTGTGCTTTTCCTCCACCATTGGAGGCCCCCATGCTTCTGAAAACCAGTTGCTGGAAACAGCAGGAGGGCAGAGTGCTTTCATGGCAGGCTTCCCATAGCCACCTGGTGTCAGTATTTTCATTCTCTCCTGTTGCTGAGTGTGTGACTATTAGATCACGTGCTCTGTGTGTTTACATTCCATGCTTCGGAAGTGTGAGAATGGGAGACACTGCGCACCACTTCCGCTCTCTTTGTTCTGACTCTTGTTTCTCTCTCGGTGGAGAAGAGAGACCCACCATGATCGCTCTGTTCTTTATTTGGATCCTGTATATAAATAACTCAACTCAGATGCCCCGCGTCTGCAGTCTCAGCTTCTGCTAGGACTCTGCTGTTTAATGAGATCCTCCTAATTGAGGGTACTGGTTGTGCACAGGCACTCAGGGCACACCAAGGGTTAATTTAGGGGGAGGGGGTGTAACCCAAGCCCTAGCCATAGCCCTGGGATCACGCCAGGCTGTCTGAGGCCAATTGCCTGGGGGTGGCGTGATCCCAGGGGCTGTTAAGAAAGGCAGCACAATGTAATTGGGGGAACTTGCTTCGCACTGCCAAACACCCGCCCCCTCCCTTTCTGTTAGGCAGTGTTGCTTTGGCCTTGCTTTGGTTTGGGTCGCCTGTTTTGGAACAGGGGCTGGGTAGGAATATTTCCCCATTTGGCAGATTGGCTATAGCCACTTGGTTTCCGCCTACCCCCTCAGCAATCATCACAACTTGTAAGGTGGCTGGCATTGGCTCATTGAAATGTGGGGGGGGGGAGGTGCGGCCATCACCTGCCCCTCCGGGAACAGGGTATTCCGGTAAAGGAATCTGGGGGTCCTGGATCTCATCCGAAGTCCGCTTGAGGGGCTAGGGCCATGCCAGGACCACAGGAACCCCGGGGTGAGCTTTGGTTGGTCTTCATCAATGTTGCTCCCTTGTTTGGTTATCCTTTTGGACTACCAATCAGAAAGGTGGAGTCAGTTATGGTAGTTTGGAGCCAATGCGTAAGCCCATACCGCTCACATGGTTGTATTAAATAAAGTTGTGGCCAAAATTTGCCCAAAATTTAAATTAAATTAAGTGTCAATGTGAAATTATTTCAAGGGGAGTGGGATCCTGGGGGCCTCAAAGCACAACTACGTGCATGCATTTTCGGATGCATGTCGTGCTTAGACGTCTGGAAGGGTGAATGCTGTGCTATGTGCTCCAGACTGGTGCCAGGAGAGGACTGTCTCCCACCGAGAAGCACCAATACCTGGTTGGCCACTGTGAAGACAGGATGATGGGCTAGTTGGCCAACTGAGCTGGTGGAGCAAACTCGTCTTGTGTCCTTATTCCTGGAGGGTCATTTTAAAAACTCAGATCAGTCAGCCTTTGGGTTTGAGTATGGCTGTCACATAGAAACTCTGGGTAAGGAATGCCAGTCCTGCAGGAATGCTGGCATCAGCACCTGGCACTCTTGGGCAGTTGCTGGCTGGACACTGATGCTTCTTTGACTGCTCAGCCAGCCATTCCTCCCAGCTGTGGTCTTCTCTGATAGCACTGGCTGGGTCTGCAAAGCTGTTCTTCGTTTTTAATTTCCAATAATGCCCAGATGTACCTTTTTTATCTTTTAGTTCTTTGTGGGTTTATTCTGTGTAATAAACAAAATCTGCCCTTATTCCCTTATGGGGGACACAAGAGCCCTTATAGAGTCCTTTGTAGGTGCTCCATCAGTCGGAGAAAATAACAGAGGCCAACCAGAGAATATTGAGAAGCAAAGCAGCTCGTAAGCTTGATCTTTATTGAACTGTTGCAACAGGGTGCTCCCCTCACACACAGGAGCAGGAGGAGGACCCAGAACCAAGGTGTGCCAGCCCTCATATAGACACTTTAAATTCCCTGTCCTGGAGCTCAAGACCACCCCTCCATACATCATACATACATCACAGAAGGGGTGTAACCCAAGACCACCCCCCACAAACATCATACCTACATCACAGAAAAGGCGATCTATAACAGAAATTTGAATGTTGTTGTTTTTCCTGTCTGCCAGGTTATCTGATAATGCCTTATCTGATTGCCTTTCCTGGTACTCTGGCCATTCCTTTGAGATGGTGATTACCCAATTCCTGAGACAATGGGAAGGTTCCCTCCCTCCCTCCCTCCTTGCAGAGAAAATATTTGGCCAGTTTGGGAGTCAAAATGGTTTCAGGGCGGTCTTCCTGTGCTGCTCCAGACATGTGGTCCACATATCTATGTACGTGCTAGATTGGTACATTTATGAACATTTATTATATATATAAGACCTTATTTTTTTTATTTCATCTGCAACCTGCTATTGATACAAATGAATGGTAGATTTATACTGGACCATCCATATCTCACTCCGCTTTCCTAGTGCTCTATGGTGCTTCTCCAGTGTCAAGACATTTTTGCCATCTGGTGGGGCACTCCTGTGCTATATGTCAACAAAAGTAAGATTAAAAGAAATAAACCAGAACATTTGCGATATGAAAGGCTACAAGATTCCAGCAAGATGTTACGAGACAGGCACTGATTAAAAATGAAACGGTATGTCCACCCCCTAACCTTTGCAGGCATAGGAAGTGCGACTGAGTATAACACAGCCCTGATAATAATAATTTATTATTTCTACCCCACCCATCTGGCTGGGTTTCTCCAGCCACTCTGGGCAGCTTTCAACAGAACATTAAAAACATAATAAAACTTCAAACATAAAAAACTTCCCTAAACAGGGCTGCTTTCAGATGTCTTCTAAAAGTCAGATAGTTGTTTATTTCCTTGACATCTGATGGGAGGGTGTTCCACAGGGCTGGTGCCACTACCGAGAAGGCCCTCTGCCTGGAAGATTGTTGCACAAAGGAAAAAAATGTACATTGTCAATGCAAAAGCCCCGGTGAAACAGAAGAGATAAAATCAATAAGTCATGTTCTTATATAGTATAAATTTTATCTTGCTTCCTTCGGATCAGAACACATCCACCTTTTCCAAGGTGCCTAAATATTCTGCTGCCGCATGTAAAACTCACCTGGGCCTAATTTTAGCAAATTTATAAGTTTGCTTTCTGCGCCTGGTGTTCTATAATGCGATACAGTTACTAGTAATTTTATAGTCATGGTTCTTTATTTGGTTTGGTTTGATATATTTTGGCAAAATTTCTTTTTTGAATACTGGTAAATAAAGAGTAACGATTTGATTGTTCTATCCCTGTACTCACCTACATAAATCAGGGCACTGATGATCGTGACTGAGACAAACATGAAGCTGTAAACAAGGCTTTGTTCCCTGCATGCGGTTATAATTAAGCATATTGAGAGTCCCATTGTGGAACGCTGCATTTGAGTTACTCCTTGGCTCCTGGGGTGGGTGGATGGGAATGCGAGCTCCTTTTTACACCACAAAGGCTGAATCATTTGCTGGGCTTCCGGTCAGGACAATCCGCCTTTTCCAGATTGCATGAAATAAACTGATACCCACACAAAATAGCTGAGTGTGGTGTAGTGGTTAAGAGCGGTAGTCTCGTAATCTGGTGAACTGTGTTTGCTTCCCTGCTCCTCCACATGCAGCTGCTGGGTGACCTTGGGCTAGTCACACTTCTCTGAAGTCTCTCAGCCCCACTCACCTCACAGAGTGTTTGTTGTGGGGGAGGAAGGGAAAGGAGAAAGTTAGCCGCTTTGAGACTCCTTCGGGTAGTGATAAAGCGGGACATCAAATCCAAACTCTTCTTCTTCTTCTCTTTAAGCCAAAGGCAGCCATTTTCTGCCTGAGGGCTGTCTTCCCTTCTGGGCAACCTTACAGGTGGGCAAGAGTGGGCAGAGCAATGAATGTAATTGATATCTCTGTACCTAGCCTAGTTTCTATGGATCCACACTCACACATCCGTCTCTATCCTCCATCCATGGAAGTATGAGCCATTGTCAGGATTCAAGGATGCATTTGAGCTAAGGCCTAAGATAGTTCAATTGGTAGAGCATGAGACTCTTCATCTCAGAGTCTTGTGTTCGAGCCCCACATTGGGCAAAATACTTCTACATTGCAGGGCATTGAACTAGACGCCCCTCATGGCACTTTCCAACTCTACAGTGATTCTATGAAAAGCTCTGGGGAGGAAGCTTGAGGGCTCTTGACAGGGTCCCATAGTCCTCCTTCCTCCTTTCCAAAGTCTAGTTACTGCTTGCCCTGCTTTGGGAAGGAGAAGGGAGGACTCTAGGACCCTGTCAAGAGTCCTCAAGCCTCCTTCCCAAAGCCTGGTGCCTCCCTTTGGGAAGATGGCTTTGGGCTGGGCTGTTAAATGTTGTCCTAGCACAGGGCACCATATCACCAAGGTCCACCCCTGGCAGCAGAGTCAGATGGAGGTGGGATGTGCCACCTTTCTGGATCCCACGTCTGAGGCAACGGCTTCTGTGTGCCTCATGGCTGGGCCAGTGCTGGCTGCAGGTGCAATTTGCTCACTGACAGGCTTTCCTTAATGGCTTTCCTTTGATGGTAAAAGTAGTAGAGGGAACCATCATACTCTCTATTGCCCACATATTAAGAGAGGCTCAGGAACACCCCATCTTAAGTCATATTATGAGGTATTCCAATAAAAAACAGCATTTTTGTATTATTAACAGGTTGGATGAAATCCCATGGATATAGCTGGATACTTTGACAGGAGATGTCTGGCTAGAGGTGTCTGTTGTAGGTTCCAAACCTACTTTGCCAGTCTCCTTTTTCTGTACCCATCAATAGGGGCAGTGGGATGCTTAGGAAGTGCCTTTTTGCAAACAGCGTTAGGTCTAGAGGAGATGGAACGATGCTCTGGCCCCTGGAATCTCACTGCTCATCCTGCTTATGGATGATCCAAACTACTCTCTGAAGCACCTTCTTTTAATCCTTTAAACCCTGTTCCATTGATACTTAAACAGCTCACCTGCTCACTTGTTTGTTTGCTGTTCTGATATTCTATCACCATACTGGAGTTGCTACAGCCACCTATTGCAGTCCATGAGGACTGCAACATGGCAACAGCCTTACAATTTCATTATATAGTACAGAATATATATTTTTTATTAAATATGTATTTTTCTAAATATGAAATTCTATGCAGGTTTTTTTTTTAAAAAATCACAAATTTATAGAGAAACAGAATAGAGGGAATTTATGAAGAACCACATGCAAACATTTTTTTAAGTACTGTTTTTTTTCCAGTTAAAAAGCTTATTGTTCTAGCCAAAGGCCAAAAGCAATGCCATATTTTTATTTGGTATGCTTCTTTGCCCTTTTGGTTAATATCAAGTGCAGCACATGCAAACATGATGCAAACTGGGTACAGACTGATCCACCCAACCTACTTTGGTTTGATATGTGGTGACCAAAAGTTTCCCCGCCATCTTTTCTCCCTTAAAAAAAGCAAAAAACAAAACCCAGCTGTGTCCCATTGTGTTCATAGTGGAAAATGAGGCTCTCCCTGTGATCCTGGATCCTTCATCTTGTCTCTTCGGGGTTGGGAGATTAATGCCTTGGGCTGCATCCAGACTGTCACTATTTTGCAGGAAATGTAAGTGCTCTATCATCCTAGTCCATTGGAGGGGAAAGGACTTTCTGTGGTTAGTGATAGAAAATGCACCAAAATGTGTGAGATGAATTGATAATTTATAGGAAAATGTATAAGCACCCCAGAAAACAAATCAGTATAAATTCAGGAAGAGTGCTCATTGTTGTATAACATTTCTGAAAACAAATAATGATAAACTCTCAATGATGACCAGACATAGTTTAACCACTGTGTAAGCTTTGAGCTAGCAAATCAGAACAAATGTTCAGTAAAGGCCAGACGTAGCCTAGTTGCCAAGTAAGCTTTGTGCAAGCAAGTCCAGCTAAAGGCTAAATAAACAGGCCATCCGGAGGAGCCCTGGAAATGCACAGATTCTATGGATTGAACCTGATACCTTCCGCTTTTGAAGTGTCTCCTCTATGCTGAACCACAATCCTAGGCCGTCATCTTAAGAGTGAGGACCTTCTGGTTTGGTTCACCTGTTGCCCTTGATCCTCTTCTTATTTGATTCCTTTGTCATCCTTGATCCTCATGTTCACGGCTTCATAATAATAATCTGAGCCATGTCAGACCTGTTCACTGACCCCTTATGCCTGTCCTCCACGGCAGTTTGTTTGAAGATCCTTAAGGGCCTGAGGTTAATAAAAGGTAGACTCAGTTGCTGCACACATGACATTTAGATGAAGAAGGCCCTACCGGGCTCCTCAGCTGCCATTACAAAGATGAAAGTTGTTTCAGCTGGATTTTTTTTTTGTATGCTCTGCAAAGAAAAGAAAAGAAAAAAAAATGCATTTCTTTGGGAGTGGACTTTAGATAGTAGATATGCATGGAACTCATCTGAGATACCATGAGTAGCTACTGTATGACGAACTACTGGGCATGAAAACCTCTGCACCCAGTATGGCCAAAGGTCAAGGCTGGTGTCCAGCAGCACCTGGAGAGCCACAGGTTCCCCATCCCTGTATTGCATGGTTTTTGTAATGGTATATGGAAAGTACTCTGGACTAGGGATGCAAGAAGGCATTGTTTTGCATTCTGCCCTGTATTCATCACATCCAGCCCCACTTCTGTTCCGCTGCAATTCATCTTCTGCCCAAAATCACATTTCTTATCTTGTTGCACAGTGCAGTGAAATTATGTAACTCATGTAATTGCTTATGTAACTAGTGTAATTAATTATGTAATATGTAAATTACATTGTCATCGCATTATTCCACCCTGTTTACTTCAGTGCAAAGGAAATGCAATGCAAATAATGACCACGGGGAAGTAATTGATTACATATCAATAACTGCCAGTACCAGTTGTATACATTGGATTGATTTCCATTACAGATATGAGACAAATAAGCGCATACTGGCAATTTCTGCTCCAGCTTTTGTTGGAACTCTCCAACATCCCTATTTTGAAAAGTTGAAAGTGCTATAACATGCTTGTTGCTGTTTTTGTTGTCAACCGCTATTGTGCAGCATGGAAGACTTTGCTCAGGTCATCTTTGCATGCCCTGCAACAGCTTGCTTTCCACTGATTTCAAATCCAGGAGTAGCTTTGCAGGACAGGGTTAAAGATATATGTGGGGGGGGGGGGGTATAATAAGACAGAGGCAGAAATCCAGGTCTCTACTCAGCAGAATGAGAGAAGGGTCTTCAAATACAAGGCTGGCTTGCTGCATTATGGACAGTGGTGGCTGGTGCCCATTGTGGCTGGTAGGGCAGAAGTCAGGGATCCCCAACAGTAGGTGGAGGCAGAGCCAAGGAAAAGCAGAGCCAGCTAATTCCAGTTTTGTCCCAGCCTCCTCTTCCCTGCTGAGTTCTACAAGAGCAGTGCTGAGACTACAGCGGGGGAAGCTGAGACATCATGCCCAACCCTGGATTGGTTGTAAGTCCGAAGGCAGGCAGGAGGAGCTTGGTGGAGCAATGTCCCATTTGCCCTAATGGAGCAGCCTCTGGAGTAAGAGAAATTGCACATATTGCTATTTCCATTGCGGAGTGGGGAGAGCTAAGATCATTAGTGAAGACCTGACATTCTGCAATGGTGCCACTGTCTGTGAGAGGTGGCAAAGTGAAAATGACTGAATCTCCACGATGAACTGCTGGGCCTAAGCTGTTTCCCCCTTTCCCCCATCATAAGAGACACTTCAGGAAGTAGCTTAAAGTGTAAGCTAGCCCTTAGGTTAGGCTGATTGCCCCCTCCCCGCTTAAAGTGTTGCATTTGCAGTTGCCTCTGACAACGTGTCACACCGAAAGGCCTTGTCATGAGCAATGAGCGCCCAAGATGAGCAATTTTTTTTGGTGAAAAGGACTTGAAATCTTGACGAAACCCTGAGTGCTTTGTTTGACAGGTTACAGTTTGCCGATTCCCAGCTGTACCGTCTTAGCAGTGGGAATGAACCTCCATCGCTCCGTGGCCACCCCTGCCAGCGCTCTTGTTTGTGCAGCACTACGGAAAATGACATCTTGGGCCTGAATGAAATGTCAACTTGGAAACCGCTCCAGGCACTCTTTCAACTAGCTTTAGATCAGTGATTCCTAAATAGCTTCTGCATCCCTTCTCTCTCTGGAAAAAAAGAAAGAAACCAGAAGATCTTTTCACTAGCAAAGGTGCTAGTGAATAATAAGGTGAATTTATTAAAGATGTGCATGGGATTTGGATGAACCCTGAGCAAAATTCTGGTGCTTCAGAAGGATTTAGGGCTTACAAGGTGACACAAGATGAAACGTTGACCCCTGAGGTGCTTTTGTGGTGCCTCACCGATCCAGACATTTGCTTACTTACTTGCTGGTTTTTAAATGTGGCTTGCAAGTGTCTGCTGAGAAGGGGGATCAAGCCCCAGAGCTGTGGGGCTGGATGGGGGAGAGAGAGCTCGGTTGTGACTGGCAGGTCAAGCAAATAAGCAAACCCCTTTTATAGCCCACAAATATAAACTTTTTAAAGGTGCCTTGCACAAAAGCCCTTGGACTTATTCATCTGCAAATAACGTTTCTTGGGGTGGGAGAAAACACATTGGTGATTTTCAGATTAGGTAAAGGTAAAGGTACCCCTGACCATTAGGTCCAGTCGTGACTGACTCTGGGGTTGTGGCGCTTATCTCGCTTTATTGACCGAGGGAGCCGGCGTACAGCTTCTGGGTCATGTGGCCAGCATGACTAAGCCGCTTCTGGCGAACCAGAGCAACACGGAAACGCCGTTTACCTTCCCACCAGAGCGGTACCTATTTATCTACTTGCACTTTGAGGTTCTTTCGAACTGCTAGGTTGGCAGGAGCAGGGACCGAGCAATGGGAGCTCACCCCGTCGCGGGGATTCAAACCGCCGACCTTCTGATCGGCAAGTCCTAGGTTCTGTGGTTTAACCCATTGCCCACAAAACACCAGAGGATATTAAGTGATTACGTTTTACCCATCCCAGAACAATAAAGGTTGCAGTTATGGGAGAAGAAACTGTAAGTGTTCTTCTGAAATTTGAAATGATCCATGCTCTCAGCA